TGGGCCAGGCCGGTTTGTTTACCTGCCCCGTCCGCAGGTCCGGCCAATCGTGGCTCCCACTGGCCGCAGTTCGCTGCTCCAGGCCAATGGGAGCTGCTGAAAGCGGCGCGGGCCGAGGGACTTACTGGCCACCGCTTCCAGCAGCCCCCATTGGCCTGCAGGGGTGAACCGCGGGACCTGTGGATGGGGCAGATAAACAAACCGGCACGGCCTGCCAGGGGTTTTCCCTACACAAGCGGCGACCGCAGTCTGAGAAACACTGCATTAAATTAAGAGCGTAGAGAGGTCATTGGAGGCTTGAAACATCTCTGGATTAGCATGGGGCATGCATCAGCCAACTGACTTGATTTTGTTTGCGTCGTCAGAGCGCGGGCTCCATTATTGCTGCAGGGAGTAACACTTCCCTGAAGAGTGCAACAACAAAAAGAGCAAAATGTAAACCTCTTCTGAGCACCGAGTGGGAATCGCCACACACGGCACATACCTGTCCTCTCGCCAAACTTCTCAACCAGCCGGCTTGCTAGCGGACATGTGGGTGGTAACGTTCAGCTGGGACACTGGACAGAGTCATTCAGCAGATCTAGGTTCTATTTCTGGCCCTGGCACTGACCCGCTGGCATGACCACGGGCGAGTCACTTCCTGCCTTAGTTTCTCCACCCTTTGTTTTATGCATTTAAAATGATAAGCTCTTCGGGGAAGGGTCCGTCTCTTACGATGGCTATAGCTACACTGCAATCAGAGGTGTGATTGCAGCGTGTGTATTCATGCTTGCGCTAGCTATCTAGCTATCTTGGTACCAACAGCAGTGAATGGCTGAAGTGCAAGTATGTATAGGTGCCGACGCAGTGGTTGCTCTGGGGTTCAAGCACCCACAGGGAAAAATTAGTGGGTGCTCTGCATCCACCGGCAGTCAAGCTCCCCTCACCCCCCGCCCCGCGTCGTCCTCCTCCCCCCCAGAGCCGGCACGTCCCTGGTCCTCCACCTACCTTCCAGTGCTTCCTGCCTGGCTGCCGCCAAACAGCTGTTTGGCAGCGTTAGCACGCTCCGGGGGGGGGGGGAGGAGTGGGAACGTGGCATGCTCAGGGGAGGAGGCGGGGCGGGGATTTGGGGAAGAAGTTGGAATAGGGGTAGGGAGGGGGCGGGGCCTCATGGAAGGGGTGGAGTGGGGCCGGGGGCAGAGCGGGGGTCGAGGACCCACGTGAAAGAGGGGAAGTCAGCGCCTATGCAAGCGTGCACTCAGGGTCCCAGGCAGGCTTGTACAGCCATGGCTTCGCTATTATCGGTATGCGAGGTAGATCAATTAAAGCTACCTTGGGTATATTTATACATGTTACAATCACATTCCTCCTTTGACTGCAGTGTAGATGCACATGGTCTGTCTACAGAGCATTTAACATAGTGGGGCTTGGAGCTTCTAGGTTCTACCAGAATACAAAGGAAAACAAGACAATAAAGCCATCCCACAAACTGAGTAAAGCGAATCATAATATAAATTTCACCTCCACTCAATGCCCACATGGTGTTCATATAAACACAGATCCCAAAATAAGGACCCCTCAGCCCTATATGGTGTTCAGAAGGGAATTAGGGTTGTCACCCGTCTGGATTTTACCCCGATGGTCCTGTTTTTGGCTTATGTCCCAGTGCCATTTAGGGTTGCCAGGTGCCTGGTTTTTAACCGGAAAGTCCAGTCGAAAAGGGGACCTGGCAGTGTCCGGTCAGATGTACTGACTGGACACCGAGAGTCTGGTTACCGTGGGGCAGGGGAGGCACTGGGTCATTAACCCACGCCAGCCCTATTCAGCTGGGGCTGCCTCCTATCTGCAGCAGCTCCTGTCCCTGGGGAAAAGGGAGCCCAGCCAGGGCTAGGAAGAGAAGTGAAGATGATCCAGTGAGCGAGGAGGGAAGAGAGGAGTGATGGGGGCAGGGCCTCTTAGGAGAGGCGGAGCAAGGGGCGGGGCCTCAGGGGTCCAGTTACCAGCAATTAGAAAGGTGACAACCCTAGCTTCCACTATAGAGGTCCGTGCAGCTGCCCATTCACAAACTGAAGATATTTGTTTATCCCCACCCCCACCACTTGGTCAAAGCTTGATCTTCTCCGGGATCAAAGCTGCAGGCAGATCTGATGCTGAACCGTATGATTAGTTTGCCGTGGTTGCAACGAATTTAGATCGCTAAATGGCAGTGTGCCTTGCAAGTGAGTAATTGCCAAGGATGGAAAGCGTAATGTGTTCTGTTTACAGGATGTGGGAGGGGTTCCCAGCTTGTTACTTGGTGACAGTTAGGTGCAGAGATCAGATTTTAAAAAAACAAAACAGGATTCGGTGCTACCAAGAATCAAGGAATCCGCCACATATACAAAGGGGATCGTCTGAACGTTACCAACTCTTTGGAATTGCACCTCCCCTGCACGTGGAAATGGAAAGCGGCATTTAACCTAAAATAAGGCATGGTCAGGATTGCTAGGCCAAAAATATGATCTCCACTCCCTAGCCCCCACCTCCACAATCATAGGTGGGAACTTGTGGTTCATTTCACCTGCCCAAAAGAAAAGTGAAGTTTGCAAGTCTCCTTTCCTTCTCCAGGGAGCGTTAAACAGCCTAACTCACGTGCCAATTGCGGAGCAGACTTCATCCGTGGAATACGCCATCCATAATTAACCCAGCATTCCACAGACATTTGGGAACTAAGCTTCCTTTGAGGAAAGTAGAACTAACCCCCCTTCAAAACCTGGCTCTTCTTGTTAAAGGCCCAAAATAAACAAACAGTCAGAATAGATTATGTAGCTCTTCCTAATAGAATACTTCCTCTCCTTTCATGCTTTGGCAAGCAGTAAAACACTGAACAGTGTGGATATTTCAAGTATCACCCAAGTTAGCACCTGCTGAAGTGAATGGGGCACTTCACATCTCTCTGAGCGATTGTTTCAGGCTCTCTGCAATCTCAGGCAGGCGCCGCTGCGTCTGTTACAGATGGGTCAAGTTAGGTTGCAATAAAGCCCTGAAAAGAGCTACAGAAAAAAAATGAAAGGGCTGAGACTGGAGATCGGGAGACCTGTCTCCCCCTCAGGGATGCCTGCCTTAACCAGGCTTGCTGGGCACGCGTGTTGTAGTAATCTGCAGAACGGGACCCTCGTGCATTGTGGGAAGCAGCAATTCTGCGGGGGCCTTATTGGAAGCTTTCCCTGGCTGAGCCACTAGGAACTCTTCAGCGCTCTCATTTTAGCCGAGTCCCCTCTGGTGGGCTGGGAATCAACTCTTTGCAGCCCAGCTTGGAAAAAGCTGGCACCTTGGGAACAATTGTGTTACTGCCGGGTGGAAATTAGCTCACTATTACTGGAGTCATCGCTGCGGATATTACTCGCCCCGTTTCCTTAATCCTGCCAGCTGCATGCGCCGAGCAGCTTAATGCATTTCCCCCCCTTTTTACTGGCCGATCAAAGGCTCCAGCCTCGCAGCCCCGAGGGAATGTCCTTGCAGTTTAATGGGAATTATCTGCAATTGTGCTGAAAGGCTTTTAGGGACCGAGCTCTCTTCGGCCCTTGGATGGCCAGTTTCACTTGAGTTTGGTGCAACAGACTGTGCTGTATTGTTATTATTTCTGGAGTACCCTATTGGTCTCAGGCTGGGTCGACACTACCCGCCTGAATCGGCGGGTAGAAATCGACCTCTCAGGGATCGATTTATCGCGTCCTGTCGGGACGCGACAATCGATCCCCGAATCGACGCTCTTACTCCACCAGCGGAGGTGGGAGTAAGCGCCGTCGACGGGAAGCCGCAGAGGTCGATTTTGCCGCCGTCCCTACAGCGGGGTAAGTCGGCTGCGATACGTCGAATTCAGCTACGCTATTTGCGTAGCTGAATTTGCGTATCTTAAATCGACCCCCCCGTGTAGTTGTAGATGTAGCCTCATTTTCACACCCAGCTGTGCATCACAGAAGCGGAAGCAAAAGCCACTTGAGACTAACTAGAGGCCAGCCTCAGAGTTTAGAGCTCTTAATGTAACTTGGAATCAGGCCCATAAAGTCCTTTTTTGGGCTGCTAGGGCTTTTAAGCGGGTGTAAAACAGCCCCACTAAGAGCGTCCTTTGTGCAAGCAGCTTCTTGAGCCAATAGAACTAATAAGAGCGCTACGCCAATGCTGCTTCCAGCCCCCAATATACGGGCACATGTACTGTGCATGCACCATGGCGATTCTAGATGCTTTACTTCCCAGGGCCTAAGTTAGAGCAGCCCCAGGGCTGCTCTAGTTTACACCAGGAACTGGGTTAGCTCCTGCACAGTCCTGGAATAAAGGGCGTTTGTCCTCATGCTAATCCTACATAAGCCCTGCCCCATGTGCAGAAAGCGTAACTGAGAAACCAGGCCCCAGCCTTCCAGTGGAAGGGAAGGGGCCTTTTAGCAGCCAGGGATCTAAGAGATTGCCATGTAGGAAGGAGGCTTAATAGACAGAGCACTGCACTGAAACTCCAGAGACATGGTTTCAATACTGGGCTCAGACACCGACTGTGCGCGTGACCTTGGGCAAGTCACTTAATCTACTCTGCGCCCCAGTTCCCTATCTTAGCGGGTTGCTGCGAGGGTTAAATCCCTTAATGTCCATGAGGTGCG